CTCTGATCTCGGTGGTAACCGTCTTCACTACCAATTTCATTTTACGGTACATTATGACATGCCCCTGCAATAGGGCATGATTGACAGAAAGTAGATGATTGCAGAATTGCAGATTTGCAATGACTACTGATGCACGAAATCACAGGAAATGAATGAGAATCTCTCGCCGTTGGTAACTGCTTGTAGTGCTGTATGACACACCTTGGTATTACCATATATCCTAAAAGGCCGTCTGGAACATTGTATGATATTCACGAGTGCTCTTAATATTATTTTGGGTCCAGCCAGTTTCATAATGCGAAGTACAGCTAAAACTATCCGTACAGCCACAGTGTGGTAGTGACAGGTTGACAAAGTCTCAACGTCAGTCAAATACTTAATTTCAAAACCATACATATACATAGCGATGCTGAGCACGCACTTCCGGCCTTTATGCATACAAGGTACATAACCGTATTTCGCTCCGCACAACCGTGCATTGAGCGGGATATCCCTGTTCACGTGGCCAGTTACATTTACATTTTCCTATTGTACATTTACAAGTACATTTGTTGTTTATCATTCCCTAATGTAACACCAAGCACATGTCCCCGAGTGATATTCCATCCCAATGTCCGACAGCGTGCGGCGCATCAGCACGGGGTCGTGCCAATGCCTGTTAGCGGACATCTTAACATCGCCCTATTAATTAATGCGGTCACGCTAGCACTGACCCATCGGGGGACACAGCTTCACGCAGTGAATGAAAGCTGTGTCCCGATGGGGACAACAGCTTACCCTCCGTTTTGAATTGGCATCCATTACCCTCCGTCCTTGACATGGGACGCAGCTTGCATTCACGCAGTGAACGTCCTGCCTTCGCCTGTACCAAAGGACAGCTTTTCGCTAGCTTATTAAATTATGCTAGACAATCTACAAACCACATTTTAAACCACTTTAGTACTCGTATATTATGCCAACCGATTTGTGCCATTTCTGACTTTTGCACAATCTCGATACCCATGAAGACAATTTCGGCGTCATTATTTGAGTCTATACGCATCCAAGCACCCGTAGTATTTCCACGTCCGTCCTTAATCCTTTTTTGACAGGTGGGACCTGCGGACGCTTGGGAAGTGAATAGGGTATGGAATGGGGCATGTCCACTCTACAAAGCGTGTTTTGCTCTCCACTCTAGCACGTGGTTAACCCTTGTCGAATGAGTGGTCGGACGAAAGCCGTCTGGGGTTTTCTTGAATAACTTGACAACCATTAAGGAAATTATGCTGATTTTCCGGTAGCTGAATAAGCTTACCATGCTGCCAATTGTTAGCACTTTTTCACAATCTGTCGTGATCGATGACGAGGGCCGTCACTTTCTAAGATCAGTTGTGAGGGGGAAGGGGCTGAGCCAATAAAGCTAAATTAACCTGCCTCCCCTCAAATCCTGATTTCTCCCCTAGTTTCGGCTATTTTGATTGGCATCACTAATGGCAAACTTAAACAACGTGGTCGGTTCCAAAATCGTTCCGATGTTGTGGAGTGACTTTCCATTCACAGCCAATGCGACCGGCACAATGATACATGACGATGGTGATATTGATAGTGATGCGTTAAGATACCTCGTGGACCAGCAGATCAGCTGCTTGCTGCATTTCATTGGCTCAGTATTCGCCTTTTTCTCGTACGCATTGGGGGGGGGGGGGGGCTCAGTAGAGCATGAGAGGGGCTCAAGCCAGCACCAAGAGGGGGCTCAGACCACCTCGAAAGTATACAAAGTGACAACCCTGCCTACGACTCACTTGTGAAAGTCATGTCAGTCATGTTTCTTGCCAAATCGAGAACATGGCTCACTTTATAGCAACTGGGACATGCTCTCTTTCTGTTCTATAAACAATATTTCTACATCAGTGACATCAGACCTGATTGCGTGCGTCTAGGGGTGAGCAGGTCAGGTCATTAAAGGACAAGCAAGGTCAAATATGTCAAACTGTTCTTTTTGTGGGTGTCATGCAAGAATGTTGTGTCATGATCACACCGCATCAGCACTATTTGGACGAAAACTGTGCCACCCGTTGTTGTGAACTTCTTGGACCACGGCCTCGCCTTGTCAAAGAAATGCAAACAGATACCCGAGAACCTGTTGACATTGTTTGCGCTGTTGTTGGCACACAGATGTTGCATTGGTAACTGCTCATTTTTCAACCCTCTTTGCTTATGGGCACTCGCATGCAAGTCACACTAATCTTCCAAGTGTCCAGCAACGTCATGAACTTTGTTACTGCCCGCATGCCACATTTGAGGTGTCCCGCCGCCACTTGTGATTGCAGTTGAAATATGTGACTGGTGCAGGTTGTGTGCGCTCGTTCAATGCTGCTTTTTATTCTGTAATATCCGCCTCGTGATTTTTGTTGGAAAACATTTTAAGACTACCTGAGATGCCGCCAAGCACATTGCTAGTCGTCAGGGACGAAGCCTGCGGACGTCGTCCGTTGTCGTCATCGCTAAGTGACGTCGTCGAGTGACGTCATCGTCTGACGTCGTCGAGTGACGTCGAGTGACTCAACGAGGCGCGGACACGATAAAATCACATAGCGTACAGTGAAAAAGGCACCACATTGATGCAGAGAGTCCTGTCGGCTTCACGCAACCGGTAGCCAACTGGTTGCAATGGGTGGCAAACGTGTGCCCCAAATTGACCCAACAGACAGGAAGCGCAATTGAACAGCTTAAAAGATCATTGCATCGTTTTTCTCCTTCACCATAACTCGTTCCGCATGCCATATACCGGTATTGAAACTATACATCATGCAATCCAATGAACATTTCGGCTGTGGTGATGTTTTCGTGGCCTGAAAGGTCCGCCCGGACTCGAATCGCGGCCATTTTTAGAACCGGAAGAAGGCAACAGGTACACTGGTGCTTACAAACTTACTTTTGGTTTTCGTGGCTTGGAAATTATCCTGCTTAGAGCATTTGTATCACTTCCGACAATGTTCCTCTACTCATCATCGTCGCCTGGGGGTCACCTACTGACCAATAATAATAACACAGATATTCATGGAAAGCTTAGATCACTATTGCCCCGCCGGTTTTCGGTCGATGCCCTACTGTCTTACTTCAAGAATCGGCATGGGATTCTGTCAAGCTCCCATCCCCGGGTAAGGTCGTTAACATGGCTCTTTCGGGCGAGGTTCTACCGTAGTTTTCCTGGAGAGATGAACGTGGGCATAAGCCCACGTACAGCATGTCTTAGGGACATCTGTTGACTCCTGGCAATTTGAAAACCGTACGGGAGCTGCGCACTCGCCTACGACGCCTGATACTCGCCCGCCGGGTGTCATGAACGTGTGGGGAGCTGGATTAGTGAGAGTCGCGACGCCTCTGTCTCTATCCGATTGACGGGCTGTCCCGCGAACGCGCTGAACCCGTCGGGTGATATGGTCTGACCTGTCCACTGCCAGCCAGGACCATGACAAAACCACTGCGTCGGTGCCCCAGGTGTACGCCTTTGTGCGTCTTCATATTCAATAATAATAGTTTCCTACACATTTCTGTCGTAAGAGACACGAAATAATAAAACCCATTGGAGGCAACCCTCGTTCTGCCGTCATGTCTTCAAAATGTTTCCCCGTCAGAAGAAGAGGAGACAGGTGAGGACACTGGGCTTTTGAAATGCACTTCTACAGAATAAATACGGCAGTGACGAGACTCGGTCCGCGATTGAAGCTGTGTACGCGGATGGCTTACGACCCTACGACGCCCCATAGATGTACGCGTTGCACGTGATTACAACGCGCTCGCACACGGACCGGACGCCACTGACGACTCGGCTATACCGCCACCCAAGGAAGCTGTGACGAACAAGGAGGCTCACGGGCGGCAGGGGGTTAGAGATTTTTGTATATGCCATTTTCCGTTTCCAGTTATGCTCAGATACCATTGCTCCGCCCACTTCCAAAACATTTCTTTGAGTAGAAAACGCAGGCATTTCCTCTTATTATTGTCGTCATTAGGGTTTACGATGCACTTAGTTGCTGGGGCTATGTGGCGTCGCCTGCCTCTCACCCAGGCAGGAAGGGCGGGCGCCGCCGGAAATCGAACCCCGTGCCACCAGTCTGTTGCTCGTGAGTTCCGAACACTGTCCGTTTACGCACGCACGGAATCATTGTTCAGACTATCGTCTTCGTCTGGTGTGTTAGGATGTATGCAACATTAACATTACAATGTTACGTACGTAACATTTTGAACACCATCCCATACTTCCCAGGACTCCCGGCAACGGTAAAAAAATAACTGACCGAAACGTTGGGTGCGTTAAGATTGCTACACCAGACAAGAGCGATGGTCCCAACAATTTGACTTCCGCAATACTGACACCTCACTCAGCCATTCCGTAAAGCTGTCAGGGTACATTTTACTCACTCTGATAGAGGGTGCTGGACTACACTCATCACAAAGCATTCCGTTCCGTTCTGTATTGCCTGCTGCACATTTCCCAATATGCTTTTTACAGCCTTCTGCTCCGCAAGACGGCAATTGACTGGCAGCAGCCTGAAAACAGCCCGCAAGCTGTGAAAACGGCCATCTCACACCACAGTGCAGCCGCCTCGACGGCTTTCAAGCCCGCCATCTCCAGCCGCCGCAAGTCACACCACCTACCAAGCCGCTCCCAACAACGCACGGAAAATATCACTGTTTATTGGGCGGCGGGAGGACCGAGCCGCGGCGAGCACGTCGCCTGCTCGGGCGCCCCCTGGCGCGAGATCTTCGTCACACTGGCGCGCGTCAGCAGCGGTGGTTACAGTAAGCGGGTAGCTGGGACGCACGCGGCCGATCTGGCGGCCGGCGCGCCGCGGGCGCCGCCGGGACTGCTGTGTAGGCACTGGTGTATGAACGGTTGGGCGAACGGGTGGAACTGAATAACGAATAGCGCAAGTCGCCCACGCAGGTAACAGCACCACTCTATGGCGTGAGGAGGCGGGGGGGGGGGGGGGGGATGGGAGGGGAGGGGGGCTGGGGAAGCCGAGGCGCAATCAGGCTGGACACGGCCGACACTACAACGCATCTCCTGGCGGGCACTCCCCGGCCGCCTATTCAACGACGGCCCACAGAGCCGGGCGGCGGCGAAAGGCGCCGTCAGCACACACCCTACACTCAAAGCACGACAAGCCTCACTCCCCGGGCCTGTCACGCGCAGGCGACGGCCGCCGGCGCGGCAGTCGGCGGCCGACCTGCCGGCGGGCGCGACCCAGAACACGGCAGACGCGCCGGCCCCACGGCGGCCGCCGGGCGCCGCCGACCGCCGCCGGCAGGAGGTAGTCCGTGGCTTGGTAACAAACCGCAAGAGCCGCGGAGGCGCGACACCCCGCGCCGGCCACAGGCCAGCGCGTCGCCTCGCCGACACGCCACATTCCATCCCTAGACTAACTCTAACCAGCGCGGCGGCCATCGTCGGCTCGCAGGCCGGCCGGCGGACGGGGCGCGCCGCCGCGACGCCCCCGGCGGGCGCCGGACGTCGCCGGTCCGCGCCCGCCGCCGGCCGCCACCCTCTAACCAATATTGATGCGTCCGCAGACAAGCGCGAGGGCCGCCGACTAGAGCCGCCACCAGCCGGTCTTTTTTTGTACTTTTCTGGTTGGTGGCGGCCCCGGTGGCCACCGCGGTCCAATGGTGTTGGCTAGCGGGTGTGGGCGCCCGGTCACACCTCCTCCGGCTGGTACAGGGTCACCGACGCCAGGTGACCGTTGCTCATCACCTGTCAGACAACAGACACGATCGACGCTTAGTAGGTGACTCGCTGCGAGATACATGGCTGATGCAGCACGCACCTTGTTGGTATCTCCCTTCGGCGTTAAAGAAAATGCTTGGTGACCGGAAAAGTTGCGGGCAACATCGCACCTGACGCAGTCTTATGGAATGCCAGTCGGGTGTTACTTTCAAAAGGTCAAGCCAATCACATAACATGTGCGCCAGAGTGGTCGACCGGAGGGAGATGGGCTCACAGTCCAGCGGTGGCGTAAGGCAGAGTGACGGGCCACATGTCCAGAGGCTGACGATAGAAACAGTGACGGCACACGGGGCGGACGGTAGCAGACAGTGCGGCATCGGACGGAGCGGGCCCTCAGGCCGGCACGACAGACGCCGCCTCCGGCAGCCGCCCGCCGACGGCGACCAGACTGCGCCCCCGTCCCCGCCCCCTCCTCCGCCGGCGCACGTACGCCAATCGGGCCGAGATTGGGTGCGTAGGCGGCCGTCCGGCGCCCCAGCCGGTCACGTATGGACAGCGGCAGGCAGCATCGACCGGCCGTTCAGCTGACACCGGGCGAGGGAGGCGCGGGTTCGGCTGACACCCGGCGAGGAGGGGGCGGGCTCAGCTGACACCGAGCGAGGGGGCGCGGGTTCGGCTGACACCGGACGAGGAGGGCGCGGATTCGGCTGACACCGGGCGAGGAGGGCGCGGGTTCGGCTGACACCGGGCGAGGAGGGCGCGGGTTCAGCTGACACCGGGCGAGGAGGGCGCAGGTTCAGCTGACACCGGGCGAGGAGGGCGCGGGTTCGGCTGACACTGGGCGAGGAGGGCGCGGGTTCGGCTGACACCGGGCGAGGAGGGCGCGGGTTCAGCTGACACCGAGCGAGGAGGACGCGGCACCGGCCGACTGCGGCCGGCGGGCGGAGGAGGACGCGCCGCTCGCGCCACCGCAAGACACGGCGGCGAACAGCGACGAGCCCGTGACGTCAAACCGACCTCGCAGCGCGCCGCTCCGGGACGGAAGGTGACGAAATAATACCGCACTGGGTGCTGACGGGAATGCAAACATGGCGCAAAAGACTCCTGCCAGTCCGAGCGGTCAATACAAATGTATGCCTTCCCGCGGAACATAAAAAGCAGCATGGTACGTATTGAACAAAGCTCGTTACAGGTCTTGCTACAGCTGCCACAGAGAAACACTGCGCTACCACGACCCGCAACGGAAGAAGCCACAATAACGGGACTCCCACGCGGACAACCGAGCCGGAGCTATCCATCCCTATTATATAAATGGGCTGAGACGAGAGGGCAGGTGAGGCATCCTGCCACATGGACGCTCCTGCACATTATCACTCCGTGGTTGTAAGTGCTCCCTTACGCCACGTGCACCACTCGATCCAGACCATGGAGGTGGAAGTTTAACACCACGGCCGGGACTGAGCAGCGCGCCAGTTTGGGTGCCACGCTATTTTAAAGATTTGATCCGAACCCTTTGAATGGCTGGATTTCACGGATCAGAGTATACGCTAAGCAGTGCTTGTTGTGTGAGCCCTGACCCCCTCCACCCGATCGCGCAATTCCATGTCAACGACAGAATTTGGTGGCGAAAGCTGAGCGTGCCGCAATGCTTGGCACGGTCCGTCCTGCCCTCTAACTTCAACTGGCCTTCAGCGCGACCGCTGCCACCGGCCGCAGGCCATACCTGTCAAGGGCAAATAGCGGGCGCCCTAAAGCGACTCGAACCCCCCCCCCCCCCCAAAGGTGGGTGGATCGGAAGACAGGCGCTCTAATCAACTGAGCCACTGGGACGAACGTTGATGTAGACAGTTACGTAAATCGTAGAATCCACCGAGCCATAAGCTATTTGGACGGAACATTTCTTGATTAGTTCTCGTGGAGCCCACTTCCCATGTCCATCAGCAATTAACTATCAGTGGTCTTCCAGGGGCCCCCCAACACCACCGTCATCACCATCATCATCATCATCATCATCATCATCATCGTCGTCATCATCATTATCACCAGAGGCTTTAGGCATGCATCCTGAGGACTGGCACCCTACCCTCCTCCGCATGCTGACCTCAGTTCGCAGCACGGTATAATATGCTTTCGTAGACCGGCACCGCCTCCCACTGTGGGACGGCAAGATCACCGAAACGGGCACTCCGATCCGATAACACGCTGGCGACAGAACTCCCGATTCAACGGCACAGGAGATCGCACCTCTCCTCCCAAACCGACCCTCCTCCATCCCCTCCCAACGCACGACTCCTCTCCCGCACCGTCGCGAGGACCACGACTGCCAACGCCCCGCGTCCCTCCTCGCCGGCGCGCGTCGCCGCCGGTCCGTCGCGCGCGACCGCGACCGTCATTTACCTCGCAGATGAAGTCCTCGACGCCGTAACAGAGCGTGGAGCCGAAAGGGTTGCTGGTGTTGGTAGTGGAGGCGCGGTTGAGCACCACCGGCCGGCTGGAGGGCTTCAGCGCGCCGCACACCTCATCCCACTTGGTGTGCGCCCGGATCTGCGGAGACCGACGCCGGGTCATCGTGAGGTCACGGCGGGGTCACTGCCGGTCGCCGCCCGTCGCCAGACACGGTCTGCGTCTGGGACCGGATGACCGGCGGCCCCAGCCAGGGGTCACAGCACCGCCCCAGTCAAGCGACATGACCCCGGGGATGGAGACGACCCAAGGTCAGGAGTATAAGGACGCGGATCTCGGCCAGGACACGGACCACGGCTCGAGCGTTGACCTGCGTCGGGACAGTGATCCGGCTCAGCGATGGGGCTGGACCGAACTGAACCCAGAGCAGTACTAAGCCTGGACTGACCCGCCTTGCGCCTGCACCCCAGCTGCGCTCGACCATGCTGACCCCGCAGCGGGTCCCATGGGCTCCGCTCCAGGGCAGGGCAGAACGGATTCCTCTCTTCGAGGCTGCCGGACACGTGCGGCCGGAGAGGGCGCAGCTGACGCCCCACACACGCCAGCGCGGGGGTGAGCGTGACCTGCGCGCCGGCCGATGTACACGGACCCCCAGAGAAAACAGCTGACCTGTCACACCAAACAAAAACACCAAAACCGCACGCTGAGCACTCGATCAGTTAACACAGCTATCTGCGGTGATTTTTCCTGCATTTCGCCGTTTTCCGAGTAATCTTGTAATCCACATGTCATCACTCGACCGCGGCGTCGCCGCACCGCTGTCGCTCACTTCATCGTCACGAATCCTGTTCCGCTAAACAATGACGCTGCCCACTTTACCACCCCCCTAATGCCATTAATGCCCTTACAATGTAACCTTAGCATTGATGTCACCACCTTGGAACCAAATGGCTGATGTGAGCCACTCCTCCACCTCCCGTTTCAGACCGATGCCGCACCGAGGCCAGGCATCAGATGGAAGGGGTGACCTGGAGCGGTAACACTGGTGTACCGAGCAGACATCAGATGGAAGGGGTGACTGGAGCGGTAACACTGGTGTACCGATGCCAGCATCAGATGGAAGGGGTGACCTGGAGCGGTAACACGGTGTACCGAGCAGCATCAGATGGAAGGGGTGACCTGGAGCGGTAACACTGGTGTACCGAGCAGGACATCAGATGGAAGGGGTGACCTGGAGCGGTAACACTGGTGTACCGATGCAGGCATCAGATGGAAGGGGTGACCTGGAGCGGTAACACTGGTGTACCGATGCCAGGCATCAGATGGAAGGGTTACCCCGGAGCAGCAATCCTGCGCATGTATTGTACCTACTAGTCGAGGAGAGGGGGAGGAGTAGGGGGGGGGGGGGGCGTCTACATACACACTGCCATCTCTCACAAGCGGCAGAATGTTGGAAAAGTTCGGCATATTCACTTCGACCTGGCAAGTACATACACGATGAGAAGTTCCGGAAGAAGTTTAGAAGGTAGAGTTAAACATACATGTGGAAAAGCTAACCAACCAGCAAAAAACAAAACAGACAAATTAAACGGGCCGCTGGCGCGCAACGCAAATCAAACAACAAAGCTCGAGCAGACTACAATGTGTGTCTTATGCAAATGTTAGACTTAACAATGTCGAGCATACCCTGGGGCTTTTACCCGCTGCGAATTCGAGGTATGAAAGAATCCTCCTCCCACGCAAGAGCGAAGACTATGCTTTGATTAGTGGAACATTTAAGCGACATGTCCAGAGTACGCCTATTCCATCTGATGACTACTAGTCGCCTCCCCAGTAACTCGATGCCCCACACGCATATCAGCGCCCGGGGAAACCATCAGCGAAAACGGCGCCCAGTGCGGGGCGAGCGAGCTAGAAACGATACCAATCGTCGCGGGCGTCACTGCAGGCGCCGACTGACCCGGCCCGCGCTGAGCCACAACTGCCCGCGCCGCTTCAGCTCCAGCGACCTAAAACAGCGTTCGGCAGGAGCTCCTCACGCCTTCAGCAGCGGCGCTCTGAGACCTGAGTCCCGCTCCTCTGCGCTGACTGTTCAACACTCGGAGCCGGGCTCTGACGGCCGTCCCCCCGTCTGTGTCGCCAGATCACACTCGGAGCCGGGCTCTGACGGCCGTCCCCCCGTCTGTGTCGCCAGATCACACTCGGAGCCGGGCTCTGACGGCCGTCCCTCGTCTGTGTCGCCAGATCACACTCGGAGCCGGGCTCTGACCGTCCCATCCTCGTCTGTGTGCCAGATCACACTCGGAGCCGGGCTCTGACCGCCGTCCCCTCGTCTGTGTCGTCAGATCACACTCGGAGCCGGGCTCTGACGCCATCCCTCGTCTGTGCCCAGATCACACTCGGAGCCGGGCTCTGACCGTCCATCCCCTCGTCTGTGTTGCCAGATCACACTCGGAGCCGGGCTCTGACCGTCCATCCCCTCGTCTGTGTTGCCAGATCACACTCGGAGCCGGGCTCTGACGGCCGTCCCTCCGTCTGTGTCGTCAGATCACACTCGGAGCCGGGCTCTGACCGTCCATCCCCTCGTCTGTGTTGCCAGATCACACTCGGAGCCGGGCTCTGACGGCCGTCCCCCTGTCTGTGTCGTCAGATCACACTCGGAGCCGGGCTATGACCGTCCATCCCCTCGTCTGTGTTGCCAGATCACACTCGCGGTCGGGCTCTGACAACCGTCCCGGTCGACGCCCGCTACTTACGTGCACGCCCTCGGAGGCCGAGTTCATCAGCGACGCGTGCGGCTCCACGGCCAGGTCGAAATTACACCTGTGATACCTGCCGGCAGCGTCGTCCACGTCAGCCGCTCATAACCGCCTCGGGTCGGATTCGCTGCCCGGCGCGAGGCAACGCTCCGAACAATGGCGCAAACTTCCCCAGCTGACGTCAGAGGGCCGAAATCGTATCGAACGCCGTGGTATATATGCACCGGTGCCAGCGGGGACGGCTGATGCGAAGCTCTCCGCCACGTCGGAGCGACCGACCCACGCACCGGGACCACTTCAGGAAGACTACGGCGGGCTAATTATGGAGCCAATGGCGGGTTACCGCGCGACAATGGCGAAGGGACGGAAATGGCCACAGATTCGCGGAATATGAGGCCCGTCGGGCTGGCGGATGTGACGCGCGCACGGGCTCGGCGCACGTGTTACACGGGGATGGATATGGGACGCATCAGCGCGTCAGCACGTGCTCCCTGAAGGCGTAGGCGGCCCGAAACTAAGCTTCCTAGGGATGTGGACGGTCCGACAATGTGCTCCCTGATATGCCCCCTGGGGACGTGGACGACCCGATAGTGTGTTTCCTGGGGACGTGGACAGCCCGATGATGTGCTCGCTAGGGATGTGGACGGCCCAACAATGTGCCCCCCCCCCCCTGGGAACATGGACGACCCGAAAATGAGCACCCTGGGACGTGTACAAGCTGGCGGGGGCGGCAGTGTGCCCCCCCCCCCTCCCCCACACACAAACACGTCGGCGGTCGGCGCGGGCGGCCGAGCGTCGCTGGCGGCTGGCCGGGAGCGGGCAGTGTCATCCCCCGTCCATCGGCTCGGGTGGGTCTGGCCACTGTTCGTCTCTGGCGGCCGCACCACCCCTCTGGGAACGCCACACGAGCACGGTACGCGACCGGCTGCCGACCGCAGATAACGGCGAGCCATCCCACGCACACGCCAACCCCCGACAGTCCACACAGCAGCCACGCACGCTCACAGTCCACACAGCAGCCACGCACGCTCACAGTCCACACAGCAGCCACGCACGCTCACAGTCCACACAGCAGCCACGCACGCTCACAGACAAACGACCGCTGCCTCGCATTGTCAGCCTCATTCGCCCGGCGGCGCACAGCGGCAACGCTGATATGAAAATCCTGACTCTTGGTTTTTGGGGTGGGGATTAGAGCCCCTTCGACCAGAAATGATCATTTCAGGGCTATAGGATGAAGGACAATGGTTAACGGTGGGGCAGACTTACATGCGCCTAGAGGGCCGACCGCCTAGCTTTAAGCCGCACATGCGCGCTGGGTACCCGGTGGGGGTCCCCTTCCCACGGGGTACTCGGCCCACTCGTTGCTAACGCATGCAGCCTGCCCCGGACAAGCGGGGTGTCGCGAGGACGCAGGACAAAGCAAGACAGTGGATAAGAGGGACCGAAAACCCTGACTCAATGTATACACAGAGAGCACGTGTGGCCCGGACACCAGTAGAAAGTACAACCCATACTGACATACCATTGATAAGGGCGCTGTACCGCAGCGTGCTTGGTGCGCCGCGATTGCCGTGGCAAGTAATTATGCTGGAGAGTGGCCAAGCCGAAAAAGGAGAGGGAGACAAAGCAAAACCATTCCACCTGCACCATATAAATATTATTATGAAAAAATTATCCACCTCCGATTAAAAAACTCAGTCGCGGCAAGATGAACTATAACAAACTTGCTGATGGTGCATCTTATTCAACGGTGACTTACATGTTGAAGTTGTAATGCCCGGGAAAGTTCGTATGTAGAAGGATCTTTTTCGCCCTATGGGTTCTTGCGTCGAACAAAATGTCCTGGGAAAAAGGGAAGGCATCATCAAATGACATCTCCACCATTGGCAAGAGAAGTTCTGAGGCATTCAGAAGCACGCCTTGAGCTGGATACATTCTAAAGCGTGGGGCGGCAAAATAAACCGAGAGCCGATGATGACGAAAAAACAAAAAGCTTTCAACACTTCCACGACAAACCAGACTATGACACTGAGGTCTTCAGAGCAATTCCGATAAGTCTGTAACCGTCCCAAAGCGGGAGATCTTTTCGGAAAAGAATCCAACGGAAGCAAACATTGTTAAATATCACAGCTTGCATACATCCACGTGAGCGAAACAACCCCACACCGAAAAGTGCCTTGACACCTTTCGAAAGTCTCACATGCACTTAAAACATCGGGGAAGCGACCTTGTTGAGACCGTTCAGTCACACACAAGAGCAGAGCCATAACATACGCGGGTCTGACGGGCCCAACCTGGAATGGCACGAGGAAACCCAGCAAACAAAAAGGAACCGGAAGACGACGTGGCCCCAGACCCGAATACCCAGTCCATGCCGCCATCCCCGCGTGCTGGCGACTGCGGGTAGCGTGGCGTTGCCACACCGCTGCGGTCGCTCGCCCGCAGGCAGCAGGCGGGCCGGTCAGCCGGCCGCGCCGAGTCCCACGCGCGAAGGACACTCGCCAGGCGCCTGGTCCCGTCCCGCAGCCGGCCGCCGGCAGGCACAGGGGAGACGCGTGCCCCAGATGCCCCCTTCCCGCTTCTCCAGCCTGCCCAAGCCAGGGCTGAGGTCGCGCGGCGGTCCACTCACCATGCCCAGGGTGAAGTAGTTGAAGAAGAAGTCGGACCGCCGGGACGCCGCGCGCTTGTGCGCGAACGGGCTATGGATCTTCATCTTGTCTTCGGACTTGTAGAACACCTTGGTAGGCGCGCCGAGCAGCGAGGTCACGTCCTGGCACGAGTCACCGAAGCGGATCTCGCGCACCAGTGTCTCCAGGCCGCCCTCCAGGCCCGGGTGCGAGTCGCCTGCCGCCGGCCGGGCGGGGTCAAGGCTCCCAGCCGGGACAGAGGGCGCGGCCGGCGCCAGGAGTGACAGGCATACAAACTTGTCCTCCCACCGATGGCGACCGAACCCTCCCACCCATGGCGACCGGAGCCTCCCACCGATGGAGACCGGAGCCCCCCACCGATGGCGACCGGACCCTCCCACCGATGGCGACCGGACCCTCCCACCCATGGTAACCGCACACATGCACGGCCACGGGAGCGACATGTGCAACAAAATCAATAACAGATGCATCCAAGGTGACAACTGACTACCGTTTTAGTTAGAACACTGCAAAACAGCGATAATGACAGAGTATACAACAAGATGCGTATCGATAAATGGAATGCACTCCTACGATAACAGCAGCGGTAACGATATTATACAACGGTAACTATGCACACAGTCAGGAGAGGTGCAGTGCCATGTCAGCGCGTTCAAACAAAACACCCATGGTAACAACGTCAATAATCAGAAGCATCACTCACACGTGAATGCACATGACATGGAGAAACTGACGAGAAATCACTCACCGGCGGCGAACAGCCGAAGCCGTACCCCGATGGTGACGTCATCGGATCGTATGACGTCACACTTCTCTGTGTAGACCTGTCCGCTGAAGCACGACACGGGCATGGGAGGTGCCTGCCGGAATCAGCGCGATGTTTAGTCTTGAGATGTATCGGAGCGATCTCTCAGCCCAGACGCCTGTTATGACGTCATCCTGACAAACACGAAAACCACACGGACTCCGCGGGCACCACGCTTGGAGCAGCGGTTCTGGTGGACAGGCACACGTGTTGCCCCCCCCCCCCCCTCCTCGATCTCAAGGCACGAAGTCTCTCTTACGCAAGGGGGGGGGGGGCGAAGCAACTGCGCGTCCCAGTGAGTGGCGCAGATGGAAGAAACAAGTGACGGGTCTGCCGCAACACAATAACGACAATTCATGTGATCTTTATCCATGCAGGTACAGGACGGGGTCATAAGCGTCGCAATACAGGATGGAAGCCGGTTTACTGAAAGCCTCCCGCCGCGGGAATCAAGCCCACGCTTCTCAGTCCACGGTCAAGCGCAGCAGCCCGTCGGCTATCGGTGGCCACCGCCGCCGCTCACCTCGGTACCCGTGCGGCTGCTGCCGCTGTAGATGCTCATGCTGGAGACGAGCGGCGAGCCTCCCCCAGGGAACTGCAGCGAGCCGAGGCCGCCGGCGAACCGAGGCTGAAACAGCCGAGCCGACGTCAGGCACCTGAACGGCGCGGACGGCGGTCTGCTCGCGTGACGCCGCCGCCGCCGCCGCGGATAGACCCGCGTCAGCTAGACGCAGGATTGCGCTTGGTTCCACTTGGGTGCGATCGATTCTGGGTTCGAATCAAAGCGAACGGAGCCGAATCCGAGTAAGATTTCAAGCAGCTGTTGGAAATTGGAATCGAATGCGAATCGGCCTCTGCAGCTGGTAAAAAATTGAATCCAATGTCAAACTGTCCCTGCAGCTACTAAAAAAAATTGAATCGAATGCCCATCCGTCTCTATCGTAGTTCAGGTTGGTGATTCTGATTTCGAATCAACTGTGAATCACCAACCAAGCTGCGATTTGGAAGGCCGGGAGGGGGGGGGGGGGGGAGGGGGCTCGACAACCTTTCAGCACGATCCATCGCATAGTCACTGGGCAGCGAGCAAGTGGTACAGAAATTTTCAGCTCACATTTAACTTTAGCGCCTAGTGGGTCCTAGCTCAACCTGTGCAGTGCCGAGTCGACTGTGTTAACACCGTGGCGACTGTGGCTGAATCGGTTTGTGAGCTGGCTATTGTTAGGCGACAATGGATCCATTTTGATTTTGTCACAATCCATGTGAATCAACTCTCAACTGGGTTCAGCCGCGCAGCCAATGGAGCCGAATCCAATCAGATTCCGGCCAAAACATTGCGGCACTGAATTCGATTTCGCCGGAGTCAAGCACACGTCTCTCGCAATGGCGTGCGGCCATCACACTCGCGGGACAGGGAAGCCTGGCACCGGATCCTCGGGTTCCCGGAGGTCATTACACCGCAGCGCCAGGAGGTCCCCGAGGACCGGCCCGGGCTTCTGACGACCGAGATGGGGTTTCTGGCGGCGCGCGGGTCCCGTGGGCCCAGGTGTCGCTGTCCGCTGCCGGCGGATCCGCTCGCGGGCGAGCTGCGCAGGTGAAATGTGTTGCCAAGGTACGCCGACCGCTCGTCCTCTCGCCCGACTCTGACGCAGCGGGCATTCTGCCGCATAGCCTTCTCTAACCATTTGATGTCAGCAAGAAAAGCGTTGAGCTCCTGGTTTGAGTTTTGACTTTGGAGGTCTTATACTGACATTCACCGACCTTCCAAATATCAGAACTCTATACACCAATTTATTCGCTTCGGTCGCTATCAAGCAAACATCGGTATATTGTAAATTCACGAGTGTCAAGCGGTCCACGGCCAAAACCTGTCCGTGCCGACGAACGCAGCTTGAAACTTCACGCAGTGACAATGGAAGAAATGCTCGCATGATAGCGTCATTTAATCAGTATCTCTCGACACATGGCAGGTCGACACCTGTCAGGACAACTTCTATAACCGTGCCAGGCAGTGGTAACGGCGACACTGACGGTCAGCCGAACAGTAGTTCCTCAGGCGTCCGTATTACTCAGGGAACATAATCTGATGGGGCGAATGATGCACTCACCCCTCTCCCCCCCCCCCCCCCCCGGTAAGGGCCAGTTTCATCTATCTTAAGCGCGTGAAAATACACAAAAAACATTGAGCTTTCAGCATTTCGACCATAACGACGCACTGTGTGACCGTTGCCGAGGTCAGCGAGCGACCGACGAGTAGCGAGTGCCCGAGATCATCTCGAGGTTACCTCCAGGAGGCGCGCTAGCTGCCACCGACCGGGCTAGCAGGAAGCAAACACGTCAGCTGACGACCGGCCACGGCTCAGCTGACGACCGACCACAGCTCAGCTGACGACCAGCCACGGCTCAGCTGACGACCAGCCACGGCTCAGCGGACGACCGACCACAGCTCAGCTGACGACCGGCCAAGCTCAGCTGACGACAGGCCACGGCTCAGCTGACGACCGGCCACGCTCAGCTGACGACCGACCACAGCTCAGCTGACGACCGGCCACGGCTCAGCTGACGACCGACCACAGCTCAGCTGACGACCGACCACGGCTCAGCTGACGACCGACCACAGCTCAGCTGACGACCGACCACGGCTCAGCTGACGACCGACCACGGCTCAGCTGACGACCGACCACAGCTCAGCTGACGACCGGCCACAGCTCAGCTGACGACCGACCACAGCTCAGCTGACGACCGCCACGGCTCAGCTGACGACCGACCACGGCTCAGCTGACGACGACCACAGCTCAGCTGACGACCGGCCACAGCTCAGCTGACGACCACCACGGCTCAGCTGACGACCAGCCACGGCTCAGCTGACGACCGACCACAGCTCAGCTGACGACCGACCACAGCTCAGCTGACGACCAGCCACGGACTCAGCTGGACGACCGACCACAGCTCAGCTGACGACCGGCCACGGCTCAGCTGACGACCGACCACAGCTCAGCTGACGACCGACCACGGCTCAGCTGACGACCGGCCACGGCTCAGCTGACGACCTGCCACGGCTCAGCTGACGACCGGCACGGCTCAGCTGACGACCGGACCACGGCTCAGCTGACGACCGACCACGGCTCAGCTGACGACCGGCCACGGCTCAGCTGACGACGGCCACGGCCTCAGCTGACGACCGGCCACGGCTCAGCTGACGACCGACCACAGCCTCAGCTGACGACCGACCACGGCTCAGCTGACGACCGGCCACGGCTCAGCTGACGACCGCCACGGGCTCAGCTGACGACCAGCCACGGCTCAGCTGACACACGACAGACCGGCGACAGACGGACGGCGATCCTGCGTGGAGTCGGCTTGGCCCCATCATCCAGCGACCCTCAGCCACAGTATGCGCCTATTGCGTGATGCGTCGAACCACTCTTCACATATGAACATAGCTGGGCGAGAGATATTGTGAGCTAACAGCTGTTTCGACCGAATTTCGAACGAGGCCGCTTGGTCGCCGCTTTTTCATCGGATTGCGAGCTGGGAAGCGGATCACCAGCTGGTGGCAGCGTGGACGTCACGGCACGGTACGGCACGAGGAAAACCATCCCGTCCTTGCGTCACTTTGTACAGCTCAGGGATCAAAGTCACCCAATCCGCTGAATGGAACTGGACTACAAAGGTGATGAAGTCGGGCTAATACAGCAACCCTGATTGCACAGCGAGCACTCCACGAAACCAGTTAAAACCGGCTGAACATTGCTTTTGATCTCAAGCCGATCTCTACAGCCAACTGAGAACAAACTGAAACATACATACAGATTATGACGAAGTCAGAGCAGGCTTCGACAACAATTCGGGGAAATGAAAGCGGCAACAAACAGATTTTACGTGTATTTTACATACCAATGCCTCATAAACGCTTGTTTTGCTGGTTCGAAAATGACCCCATCAAAAACAGCACGAATTCTTCAAACATCACGAATTCGCGTAAATTCTTTCAACATTCGTGCGCCGGCTGAGGATGACAAACTCACAGGTTTTCTGACGAGCTTCTGGGCCGCACAGCATATCATTCCGAACCGTGACGAATTTCCATGAAAAGCTAGCTTCCTAGATGGACTACCTTTCCGAGACTTCGCCCGGTTCGGCTGCGGCACCAACGACTAAACACGCCAGTGGTCAGGCGCGGAGGAAGTCCTTTGAAATTACAACATATAATCGAACAAAACAAGCCAGCGGAGAAACGTGTGTGTGTGTGTTAATAGGACAAGATTCTCCTGACGAGATGCACCGCTCCATATTCGCCCTCATTTTAAATCACGCTGAGAACTTAATCCGGCGCGAAGATGACAAACATACTGATAATCCAAGACCAAAGCCAGGGAGACAGAACGAAAACTTGCCTTCACTCGAATAGTTTCGGATCTGATGGCCCATTCAAACTATGATTGCGAAGCAACACAACACACTGTATACAGCAGCGAGTACCTCAATCCAGAGGAAAAACAGCTCAGCGTGTTTCAGAAAACCGAAACATCGCCTCTGTTTTACCACCTTTACTGTCCTTTACTTTACCTTCCTTTTTAAATAATCCCTTGACTTTGAGGGATAGCCGCTCCGGTCCCAAAGCTGGCTTAGCGCGCATCATGTCAAGAGGCCCCAATCCACGTCCGCTCCTCACTTTCGCCGCGTGGACTTTATCTGGCGCGAAGCTGACAAACATGGCGATAATTCGAGGTCAAATCCTGGAAAGCCCGGCAATACCTTGCCTTAAGTTGAGCAGTTTCAGGCATGACAACTCACTCAAAGCACGGCTGCGAAGTGGAACAGCACACAGCACACAGCACACAGCACACAGCAAGACGCACGAAAGACGGCAGACGCACATCTCAATGCGTGCTTCGGGCCCACTCGCCGGCTGTGAGTGGGCTATGGTGAGTCTACGCCTTAATCAAACGCACCATAAGTGCATTCGAAGACGACGTTCCGCAACAGCAAACAGAGCGGTGCCCCACGGCACAAGCGGGGACGGCTCCGCCCAGCCGAGACAGCGCAGATGGCAGTCCCGGCGCCGAAGTGGCGCCCTCGTGAACTGCAGCGCTCGCCCCGCAGGCGGCGGTCACGACCGATACCCCACCAGAGGCCCGGTGCCATTCGGCCCGTCACCGGTCCGGTGCCTCTCGCCTCCCTTACGAGCGCAGAAGCAGCGAGCTTTCCCCCGTCACCTGAATCTACACCAGCACGCGTCGTCCCATCGCCCGGCCGCTCCCCGTATCGTACCGGTTGCGTACGTCGCCTGATCGAACGTTCCATAGTTTATCCCGGCGCTTGTTCGACGTGATCGGCGCCGCCGGCTCCGGGCGGGACCAACGGCCCAAACTTGCTCTGCTCGCATCGTGCCCGGCGCTGCGCCATGTGACCTTTGGCTCTGGGCGCTACAGAAGCCGACAGTGCCAGCCTGCGCGGCGCATCGTGACACCAGGTCATCATGGAACGATGCAGCTGGCCGTCGCCGGTCCGCCATCACAACTCGACGATTGTGTACGGGGTATCGCTGTTGGGAATCATGGTGCACCGCAGCACCCGTCGCGGAGGCTAGCGGCCCGATCTCCAGGGTCCTTCGCGGCAGGCTGGGGAAGAGTCGTGTTATATGGAGATCACTATCTGTTTTCGTTTTTGCTAGTGATTATCGACGAACGTGGCAGTGCGTTTGACGGGGAACATGAGCCCCGGCGCCCAACTGACGCAGAACCCGCTCAACGTACTATTTCGCCTCCGGCTTTGACGCCAGCCAGCATTACACAGGGACCATATTCGTACCGAGAACACTACAGGGCCGCTCGGCAACACGACCCGCTTCAGTGCCCGATCTACCGTCAGTGTCGCCCAGCCGACCGGGCCCGTCAGCGGAGTGAAGACAGACCGGCCGCTCAGCAACGGCAGCCGGCGACCCGGCGACCGGGCAGCCACATGATGGAGGCTTCCGCTCAATAGGGGTGCGCCGCGTGACGAGCTCTACATCACTGCACATGCTAATAAATTATTCAGGAATTTCCACGTCACTGAATAATTCATTTCCTCACTTACCACCATGGAGTTCTTCGAAGCTAAATATAGCGGATGGAAGTTATTAAACCAGGAATATCCCAGCAAAATTTATCAAAACACGGTTCAGTGCCCTCTGAAATACTGCGTGTGTTGAGGCTTCGTGAGAGGAAATAAGGTCTCGCGCAGGGCGCATGCAGACCCGGGGCAATGTCTGCGAGTCGTCGCATAGCGCGCGACACGACTCGCAGACACGAACGCTGACAACTTCAGAGCCCTTCATCACCACCAACAGGCGTCAGGAGGCGCTTCTGGCGCGTGGGACGCACCGCAGATCGCCGCAGGCAAATGACAATTCAGCACCGCAAAGTCCTCACACCAGGCGGATAGCTGATGCACCTTGCTTAGTTTAAGCAAGCAACATTTTAAGCAAGCAACAATCCGGAACACCCTTTAAGTTGTTCCCGGCCCAGCTGCTCGCGCAGTGCGCGTGCTCAACTTTTGCAGCCATTTTCCTTGGGACCCAATTACCGAGGCCCGGAAGTCAGAGACGGGTGCGGTGATGGGCTTCAGGATAGATGTGTGACTGGGTGATGGGCTTCGATCGGATCCAGCCGGTAAGAGGCTGTAATTCGCGGGTGGGGCATGACCAAAAATTAGCACCCTCTATCACTGTCGCCAACGTACGGCTGCTAGGACGGTGCAAATTGACACGCGGATCGTGGCCCACCGATCAGTCTCGACGAGTCGTTATCTTGAGAGCTCCCGGGGACTTCAACCTATGGTATGCAGGGCGCTCGTGCTGAGCTGCACCCCCTATCATGGGAGGCCTCTACATTGGCAGCCATTGGCGATCAGTGCCAGGACGGGGCCTGCATGCACGTGTAACATATGGGACTCGGCTTCCTCCCGTCTCGGAAGTCATGGCCCACATAATCGAACTTCAAAGACGCAAAGGTGCTCACACAAGCCATTTAACCGTGGCCTATTCCATTTCTAGAGCGGCAATGGCGCGCACGCCGTGCGCGTGCCAGTCTTTTAAATCGCCATTAAGAGATTGGTGGCGATGCAATCATGAGTTTCAATTTTGAATCCAAGCCGATGGCGATGGTACCGATTTGCACCTGGGTGGCACGCACAAGTGATTACCCGAAAGGCACCTCGTGCGGAAGGTGACGAAAAACGTGAATTCGGTAATATTTGAGACTCGTCACCGGGACTTTACGGCGCACTAAGCCGCTGGGGCCACATGGCGTCGCCCGCCTCCCACACTGGCAGAGAGGTCGGACACGGCGGCGGCCACACACTTTTGGTTTCCCAGCCGCGCAGCGTAATATCTGACATTCAGAGAAGACCTTCCATACAAATGTGGGTACGTCAGCGAGGTTATTCAGATGCGCGCTGGGCGCACGTGGGGATCACCAGTTATCATCATGTGGCCTGAAGCCCAGGTACGTAATGAAGCCAGATGATATCGGGAACCCACAGCAATGTATTTCATCAATGCATAGGAAAGTCCTCTCTCATGAGGACTCAGAAAGCAACGGTGAAAATGCAGGATTCCCGCGCCACCTTCACGAAACCACACTGCTTTGAAATTGACTGTTACAGGTATAGCGGGTCTGGCCAGGCACTATCCTTTTAATCGACAAAGTCCACACATTGGGAGCGGTTTGCACTTTTGGTGACGGCGACCGCAGTATTGTGGAAACACGCCAATATTCGGCAAGGCGCTGTTCTCCATGGACTGGACTCAACACCCGTACAGTTTCCAAGGCCCCGTCCGCCTTGGTGCAGCCACAGGCTGTTGTATTTGAGACTGACCAGGAAGAATACGACAATGGCGATCTGTCGGGATTTTATTAGCGCAACTTTTGATCAGATCTTACTGGGATCACGTAGCAAATTGTACACGAAACATTGGCTTACACTGTGCGGTGGCTCGAGGTCTCTATCTGTTCTTGAGGCCTCTACCTGTTCCTGAGGCCTCTATCTGTTCTTGAGGCCTCTATTTGTTCTTGAGGCCTCTGTCCGAAGTGTAAAACCAATCATTAAACACGTCCCGAATCGGGCGTTGGCCGGTAGCTTGCGACCGCAAGCCCGCCACTGGTCGCACGCATCACTCGCACTTCCATCCACACGACTGCGCGATACTTTCTACATCAAAACGGGTAGCCTCGTGTCGCTGGGACGAGTCATGCAGTGTTTCTTCTTCTGATACGCTTCTTGTAAGTGTTCATACTTCTGAAGTGTTGCTCATGTTTCTCCCATCCCAGCCATGTTAAAACGACAAGAACTGGCTTTTAGTTGGGTGTGGCCTGGCGGCAGCGTGAAGAATGCCACAAATCTCTCGCTCGAGGATGTCTATGAAAGAGCGTGTGCTGTGCCGCGATGCGGTGTCAGCCCGTATCACGCGTGGAACGGCCGATAGCCTTTGAGTTGCCGAGCGTAACAGGGAGGTAGCCGGCCACGGCCTTGCCTTCTGGACTGCTTCCACATGGAACAGGTCCACTGCGGCAGTCGGGGACCGGCGGGCCCAGTGCCTGCATCCGGCGAGCTCGGCGATCGCTCCAACATACTGACGTGTGACAGTATATCATGAGCTTACACCCTAGTTCCGACTTGAGCTGCGCAGTTTTCCTGCCATTAGCAAGTGTTATATTTCCCACGTAAGTTGAATGGGAAGGGCTTTATTTTGCCCGCGATGCACAGAGACGACGTCTCACTTAACACAACAGCCCTCTGCGCAAATGTCTAAACATTACAGGCGCAGGTTTTGAGCAGCTGCATTTCTCGTAGGTGACAGCAGCGTGTAGCTGATATCGGTGCTTGCGAAGATGTTTACTTCTACAGAGCGTGACGGCCGAGGCGGGCCGGGTCGGACACCTCAGTTGAAAACTTCCTCACCGCCTGAGTCTGCCCTGCTCGGCCTTCAGTCTCGCTCATGATTACCGACCTGCCATCTACTGGGATCTGAACAAATTACACCGACAGAGCCTCTGTCAGTTGCCCAGGCCTAAACGTGAGATCTATTCGACGCCATGTCATGCTGTGCTGAAGGAAGGCGCCTGTAAGTTCCCTCTTACGTGCGAATAGCGCGCAAAAACACACGATAACTGAACCAGAGCACTCCCAGGTTACCTAGCCTTTCCAAGCTGTGGATCCCAGCAGGTCAGCTTGTTACCCGGCCACTTGGTTACGTAACACGGTATCCGGGCCACGGGATCTCTTACACTTTCAGAATGACACCTAAATGTGCATTTATGGGCAAATACATGAGTGCATCACATTTCACAATAAAAGCGTACTGTTGCCTAATCTCATGCACTACACAGTGATCTTTTGGCTTAACATATCCACCAAAGAAACACTGCAAGTGAGCACCTTGCGAACTCAACGCCGCAAAGCGTAAGGAGCTATTCCTGCGAAATTCTTACGAATATCCCTCGCCCCGCCCCAGTTCACGTTCGCAAAGCCTGAGATGCTCCTTTGCCTGTCTACCAATCCACTCTGGTTCCCTAGAACCCGTTCCACTTTCTAATCGCCGCGGCCGACGGGCTCCGCTCACCTCAAACTTGGGCTCCACCGGAAACTGGAATGTGAGTCCGCGGAAGTTCAGCAGGAACAGGTGGCGCTCCCTATCGTAAATGCCCGGGTGCGTGGCGCCGAACGTCTGGTCCACTTGCTGTATAGTTGGCGCCACCTCTTCGGAGCTGAACACGCTGCCTCTGCGGGACCAACGTGCGCGGTGTCAGACGCGAGAACCAGCATGTCAGGCGCACCATCTGGGCGATCACCACGAGACGCAATACATCAGGGTCAACGGTCGATTCGAAGGAGATAACGGCGTTGTGCAATACTGTCAGGTGAAAACCACGGCTTTGAAATCCCGATAACGAGTGAGTCGACAATCACAACAATGAGTTCAAGGTCCCGCTGCTGGTCTTTGTCCCTCGAATTCCTCTGTCCCTCTTTGTCTTGTCCTTTTGAAATGCTGGAAGAGTGATATTTCAAAGACATGGACAACTGACACAAAAATGCAGACACACAGACTTCCTCAACACGGGTAAGAACTTGTACCTTACATAAACACTAGCCAATACAGAAACGATCTGTATTCCACGCTCCAGCTTTGACAATTAACGAGCACGATTGATGCAATCAGGGCCTCTGGGAAAAATAAACAGCCGAGCCCAGGGCGCTGCACTGTGCACGCTCGGCTCACTGGTAATGACATATGCACCGTGGCGGTTGCCATTTCGCAGCACCCTTAAACTCGCCCCGATCTGACTGAGCCACGTATGCAACAGCTGACTGCGCACGGGCCAGTCCGGCGGCGAGGCTTGCGTCATTCAGCTCGTTACCATCCCCAGAGCAAGCTTGAATTCACGCGGTCTTGACGTCCACAAGGTTTCGTAACTTGCAAAATTATAAAGTGCACAACTGTATATGTGTGGAATACGCGTGGATGCATACATGTATGGACAAACTCTACATATCATTTATCGTGGTTCGCTTGTTCACATTTACGCCGTTTTGCGGCGCTAACAGCTCCGCCAGCTGTTCAAATGTTGACGCCCACCGCCCGGGCCCCGAGCGGGGCGCCAAGGTCGGGGGTAGCAATCGCAACGGCGCTCCAGCCGTCAGCCTGCGCCAGCTAGCCCGTCATGTCGGCGCGGGCTGACGCATGCATCATCCCACCGCACGTGTTGCGGGCTGCCACTGGCGCACAGCCATCTCGAGCGCGCACTGGGCTACCGCGAAGGGCGACGCTATGAGAGAGTGTCCTCCAACGGCCCACAGATATGAAAGGGGAGGGGGGGGGGGAGCAGGCGAGCGGGCAATGATTCATCGTCGCTCAGTAGACTCTGTCTGCGGAAGAGTCAGCCAGCTCTCAAGCAGTGAACAGCCTTCGACCACCCTGCACCCGGCAGCGCTGGGATTACACGCACAAGGACGGAATTAAGTCAGCTGCCGGTAAGAAATCCGGCCCAGCATTCCCGCCATCTACCTTGAGTTGGTAATATTCCCTTACGGACGTGCATTGAGAGAGAAAGGACATTTCGGTAATAACAACCCAGGACTGACTGAGTTCACGCGCTTGTTTAAGCACGACGAGCACAAAAAGCACATACCAATGAAATAAAGCCCAAATGTTCCAATCCATACGTGCCACCCCACATTCCTAGTGCACCTCTAGGTAATTGTTTCAAATGCCCCTGCACTTACCCGTACTTTAGCCGTAAGCTTGCTCAGGTTATATACCTCGATTATCTGAAATAAAAACAGCAACGTCAGATACGGCGACTGGCACAAATTCATCCCGTCATTGCCGGCAGGCGGCCCAGGAACATAGCACGCCCGGGTCCGTTCAGCACCTTTGTCTGATAGCGCCGGCGCCAGCAGATGATATCCGCTCCCCTCCAATTGACATTGGACGCGCTCCCCGTCGACCGTCTCCTGACCTTCTGGGGCCAAAAACGTTCCGACAAAAACCCGCCCGCCTGACAGTCAGCTGGGCCCGCCGCCCGACGCGGCGGCGAGGACGGCCCGACCGGCGTCTGTATGTGTCCGTGATATTCAGCCCGTACCGAATCTGGACCGGTCTGCATACATGCAAACACCGCAGGGGCCGCCAGAGAACGACGTACACAAAGAGGTCCGCCCGGGTGCGCACATGACGACAGGGAACCGATCACAATATGCATGTACGGCCCGGGGGGCCCGTCGGAGTGCGCGTTTTAAGGGAGGACCCGTCAGAAATAGATGAAAATGCCAGATTGTAATGTGCACAAAGGGGTCCTCGAGAGAGCGCACATACCGACATGGAACCGATCACAATATGCATGAATGGCCCCGGGGGCCCGTCGAAGTGTACATTTTGAGGGAGGACCCGTCAGGAATACATGAAAACCACGGGACCGGTTGTCCGAAAACACGTGCTCGTGCTTCACGGGTCCATGTACAGCGGCGCTGTGAGCCACCACATCTATCAGAGGACAGGTCCACCACGAGACCCGTCCGAATGTAGACGGCCACCCCAGACCCGTCCGAATGTAGACGGCCACCCTAGACCCGTCCGAGTGTGGACGGCCACCTGAGGACCCGTCCAAATGTAGAGAGCCACTCGAGACCCGTCCAAATGTATGTGGACGGCAACCCGAGACCCGTCCGAACGTAGACATCCACCCAAGACCCGTCCAAATGTTGACGGACACCCGAGACCCGTCCGAATGTAGACATCCACCCAAGACCCGTCCAAATGTAGACATCCACCAAAGACCAGTCCCGGCGCGGTCACACAACCATCGGGTGGAAGCCTGCGCGCAGGTCGGCGCGAGTCCCGCAGCCAGGATGCTGCGTAAATCGATACGGGTCCCGGAACAGCGCGGCGCGTAGACGGGCACAGCCGGTCGGTGCGCGTCGCTGCGCAGCCGGGCAGGAGCAGGTCCGGTCCGCGCTGGCCCGGGACGGCCGCGAGCGCGCGCGTCGCAGGCGACCTTGGCCGGCTGCGCTCGGGCCGCGCCCTTGGCGAGGACGGACGTGCGTGATCCTGGCAAGACGCCGCGGGGAGCGGCGCTCACGCGCGGGGACGGGGATGGGGATGGGGATGGGGATGGGGATGGGGATGGGGATGGGGAGGGAGCGGGAGGGGGCGGACAGGCTACTGAGGTGACTCACCGTGCCGGGTCAGATGGCGCGCAGACAAGCGGCGCGCCAGGTGACAGCGGTCGGGTGGGCGCGCGAAACCACATGGCACGGATGCGTGATTGAACACGTGTAGTGGGACGCGTGGGGGTGGGGACGAGGGACGAATCACTGCGGTGACCGCCGCAACTGCGCAGCACAAACAACTGCAGGCGAGCCTACTGCGTTGTTGACGAACGCAGCTGCTGCGGCAGGCGGAGGCACACAACTTTCGTTAGAGCTTATGATGGATAACTGAGGCCAATTCAGCCCGCAGCCCCGCCATCGTTCTCCTAAATTGAACATTAGCGACGCTACCCGCATCCTTCGTTCGAGACCATACCCTCACCGAAATAACTACCAAAAAACAGCACGTTCGCATGTCGAAAAAAACATTGGCATAGCGGAAACCTCGGCGTTTCAAGAATTATCTCTATCAAAAAATAAAATGGAGCCTTCATTCTCAAGAGACTGTGTCCAGTTTGATACAGGTGCCTGCATCGCTCACGTCGTTGCTATCTGTGCGGACACGGATGGCTACCGATCGTCCACTACTGAACGACTGACGGCCCGTACGGATCGAGCCTGCCGATGGCTACCGATAGTCAACTACTGAGCGACTGACCGCCCGTACGGATCGAGCCTGCCGATGGCTACCAATCGTCAACTACTGAACGACTGACAGCCAGTACGAATCGAGCCTGCCGATCTCTGAGTGAAGCATTTCCAAAGTTGCCACCACCTCCTCACACACTGCATTATTTTCTATTGATGGGAGTTTTCTGTTCACGCGGTAGCAATTCTGCGAAGTTCGGACTTAAGCATGGACGCTATGGGATGCAAACATGCACGAGTGGTACTTTCACTGTGAAAGCGTCGATCCACAGCGCTTTAGTCAGAGCCAACGAGCAAAAGTCGCCAGATTTTAGTTGCGCCGGGTTTACTTGTGTTGATAAGTTGCCTCCAACGCTGAATTTTCAGTTTGTTCCACGGAAAAAACTGATTAGTTTTTAAATGGATGTTTGCCCTGAAGGCGGCATTTTATCATTATCATTTTCACATTTCACACATCACATTATCATTCTACACAGTTTTGAACTCAACATAAGACAAATGGGAGTGAAGTATAAACGACGATGCAATTGGCACCCCAAAACGTTCCTGCCGTACAACAGCAGTTCGCAAAATTTTGATCGGACTAATTGTCGTGGATCTCTTGCATTAAATATGTCTAACCTAGCTAACTATGCGAACCTCTCACGGTAAGCGACATATTCAGTGCACGGTAATCCGGGAAGAACGGCGGCCCCGAGGCTTAACCAGGCCGACCGAGGCCAATCCGCGAGATGAGCTGGGCTAACCACCGCTCAAACCCGTGACGCCGAACGCATTCAGCACGCAGCCCGTGAGCAGACTGGATCCGTGGCTTAGCCAGGCCGCCCCGCGGTCAATCCACGGGATGAGCCGCCCGCCAACACTCAACCCGTGACGCCGAACGCATCAGCACGCAGCCCCGTGAGCAGGCTGGATCCGCGGCTTAGCCAGGCCGACCGAGGTCAATCCACGGGATGAGCCGCCCTGCCAACACTCAACCCGTGACGCCGAACGCATCAGCACGCAGCCCGTGAGCAGCTGGATCCGCGGCTTAGCCAGGCCGACCGAGGTCAATCCACGGGATGAGCCGCCCTGCCAACACTCACCACCGTGCGACGCCAACGCATCAGCACGCAGCCCGTGAGCAGCTGGATCCGCGGCTCAGCCAGGCCGACCGAGGTCAATCCACGGGATGAGCCGCCCTGCCAACACTCAACCCGTGACGCCGAATCCATCAACACGCAGCCTGCAAGCGAGGCTGGCGCACATGGGTGACTCGGTGTTCGAATCACGTTCTCCGCAGGGCTTGTTGCGTGCGTGCCGAGCGCATCACCCAAGGACGATCGGTCCCGCTCACCTGTCCACTGTCTTCCGGCTCTTTGTCGCAGGGTCCTACGCAGGGATATAGCTTCCTACTCAGTTGGGGGGGGGGGGGGGGAGGGCTGGAGCCCCCTCAACTTGGGCTATAGCCCTCCCCCCCAATGTTGCGAAGGAAGTGGCCCGAATCTGAAGAGAAACCTGTTTTTTTTTGGCATACTTTGAGGGTAGTTTGGGGTCTTTTTTCACTGTTCATCCCGTTCCTATTTTTTTAAACTACGCCCGCGGTATTACGGGACATTAAGCGCTCGACGAGGCCGCCTCCGGGCAGACGGACCCCTTTTCGGACTGGACAGGAAGTTTCAAGGCCTTGCTCATAGCCGAGGCAATAGATATTACCCATCCAAGACCTTTTGGCTATTGAGTGCGCTGCTCGTGACCGCGGCGATCACCAAGGGCCGTGTCAGGACTGACCTTCAGATGACAGACCACGACCTTCACGGGACCGAACCGGCCAGCATGGGTCCCACCCAGCACCAACACAACCTGCGGTAGTCACTACAGTCTGCGTACCTTCAAGCGCTGGCCAACAGGGTCGAAGAGAAGGCGAATGCCATCATGGGTCATGTTTATCACCAGATCGTGCTCCAGCGGGCTCTGCAACAGACAGCGACAGAGTGCACGACTCGGTAGCTATGTCACACACGTGACGACAGAGCCCCCATTTGGCATCAAACATTGGCTTCAGAATGGCGATATGGCACTGATGCGGTGGTGGTATAGCGGTTAGGGCGCTCGGCTGCGGACACGCCAGTCTTGGGTTCAAGCCCCTGCCGCGCCACCGCATCCCACATGATGCCTAAGAAACATCTTAAAATCGCTCTGGCAGTTAGGGAGATGTAAAGCCCAAACCATTATCACCAGCATACAATGAGGCATTTAAACCTGGATAGCTTTCTACACTGAGAAGCACATCAGGATCATGGGAGGGTCAGTGGAACTGCCTTTCCATTTGAGGCCTGGTTGAGCACTTTGGTGCTGAATGAACCCATTTGTGGAAAGTCAATTGCCTCAGGTGATGATCTGTTGACACTGGCATCTTCAGCTAGTCCCGTGGACTCGCAGGTTCAGGTTTCTCCTCAAGTACTCCATCTATATTTCGTCATAATCCCACTCTCTTAAAACACACCCTAACAGACTTGCCCTAGCAATTGACCAGTGTACATATGTATACTCACAGTGTCACTGTAATTGATGTGGACATCTCGTATCACTCCGACCTGTTGCTGAATAACACAGACGGCCTGGGAGAAGTGCATGCCTGAAACATATAAAAAGGTGAGCTAAAGGATATAGTTATCAACAGGCAATCTTGAAGTAAAAACATCTATCACAAATTATCTGCTCTTCAGACATGAAGGCCCTTTAGCAAATGCAACTGATGCAGCTTTTTTACATAAAGGTTAAAAAAGATTTTCAGGAATGGCACCAAAAATTGTGCCTATAGGTGAGGAAACATTTTCCTTTCAAGGAGATCTCTGCTGAATAAAGGGTTTCTGTACAGCAAAAGGGTACCTTATAACAAAGGCCTGTCATACAAAAAACACCAAAGATGTATTTTACATCATACTGTGTATTTTACTTTGTTAGCCCCCATGGAGCAAACAGGCAGCACCCCAAGCTGTTTAGATGATGACCACACAAAACTCTACAGTATGTGGCTGAGGCCCTCTATGGTTAGGACAGAAGCCTTGCATCATGCCCTTGGATGCCATCATGCAGAATCCTTACTTTACCAGGATACCCCCTCCATGCTCCATGGCAGGACATCATTTTGGAAATCAATGGGGAAAAATGTTATTAGTCTCCTTGATAGCCCCACCCAATCTCACAACAGAGTGCATGCCCCTCTGCTCTGATGGGTGGGTAGCTACCATCCTTGTCTACTTTATAGCACTGCCCATGCAACTTTTTATGTTTAAATGGCACAGATGTCCCAAGTTTAGTCAAAATCTGACAGGTTGTGCAACCAGATTGTCGGGAGCAAGCCTGAACTCAAGCGTGCTCAATCTAAGTAGCATGTACAGCCCCTATATTCTGCAGATAAACATGAAACTGTTAGAAATATTAAGACAAATTCAAGATGGAACCTGATAACAAAGTTTAGTATGTTGTGACCATGTGCGCTTGAGTTGGGCTAAAATAGACACTGCTGTAATTGCATGTGTATCCCAACATTTCCTGATTGTTTAACTAGATATATTTCACACAGCTATTGCACATACCTGACTGTGCACAGGGCATTTGCACATACCTAATCTAGGCAGCTTCGAAATAAAGCACTTCAGTCTTGCTGCTAACGAAAGAGAGTAGCCTAAGCCAAGGGAGAGAAATGACAAAGAAAGCATGCCACTCAAAAATGTGGATTGTTTTCTGCTAAACATTACACAAGAGCCAAAACATCTTACCTAGAACGAATTCCCATCGTTCATGGGACAGACTACTTTCTGGGACGACTTCCAGATCAAGCATTCTTCAGAGCTGTAACCGAATATAACTCAGATACAGCCCACAGGGTACGTAATCACTGAACTTCTACCCTGCTAGCCGCGCCCACTGCCGCGCACAGCCGTGCCTTTGTCCCGTAACCTTCAACAGCACCGACCCACTTCGACCAGCTGACCAAAACAAAACAACAGAATTGCGTTGTGACGCTAGGCAATGCTACCAAATTCTAACGGGTAAAAGTCACCAGCACGACCAGGAATATCACTAGATCCTAGTAGTTCTGAGGTTTTATGCGCTGTCGCCGCCAAACCGAGATCTCAGCGTGTGCATCGACTGACGATTGAAATCGCTGAAAACAGCATCCCTTTGTGGACAAATGGGGTCTGAGTCGATCTACGCAAGGTCACAGGTCTGTGTATATCAACTCAGATTAATATCGTCACCTTTGCGCATGCGCATTCAACTATTTTTACCGTTGCAACGCAGACGCCGGCCTGGACAGCCTCCTTTCGACACGTAGAAACAACGGCTGCCTCCCCCCACCCTTCAGATTTAAAATGCGTTCAGCTTGTCTATCTGCTGCATTCAACATGCATGCCAATTTACTAAGTGTACCAGTCATCTTCCTCAAATCGCACTGGACGAAAGTTTCAGCATCTGTACTCGTACACATCGCGAGGCAACTCTACGCGGCGTGGCTATTCTGAACCTGGTTTCAAACAATGCATAAAACCATGGTTCAACGGATGACGCTCAAGAACAATACAAAGCATACACGCGATCATGCGCGGTAATATAAGCCGTCACCCAATCGGTGCCTGTCTATCTTCATATCATGTGGTTGGATGTTACGTGAGGGGCCAATTGCACAGATTTGCACGGATTGCCCGGCAAATCACTAGTTGCGGCCGCGATCGAGCAATTAAGCCATCACCACCCAGACTCGGAGCGCATCAGAGGAGTCGCGAGCCGATCATAATGTCAATGATCACCATGTCATTATGTTGAGGCTATCACGATAGTGAATGTCATGCATGTTGACAATGTTACGAACGAGTGACTCGGGTTCGGATGTCTTCAAAAATTTCCTGAGAAAGGTGAGGTCGTGGAGCGACTACATATTTTTAGCTGGCAGCCACCGAAGTTGCCGCAGAACATCCCTGATATAGTCATATTTCCTTCGTCCGGAAATAGCTACGACTGCGAAGTTTAAAAGGTTCTGCAGTCGGCCTAGCTGAGTACTTTTGCTACTTCCGTAAATGGTGGTCCAGTATCGGATCAGCCATACCACGCCACGAGCCGCCCCACCCGCGTGACCGGAGCAGACTGTGGCGGGCTCACGCGTGTCGATTTGCATCCTTCATGGGGGGCCACTGCCCCCCCCCCCCCCTACCCAAGTCCATTTTGGTGGCCCAACGGTGAGTTTGGCCCCATGAACCTTCTGGAGCCTAGGTATGCACATGCAAAACATTAGAATTGAAAGCTTAAAAATATATTGAGTTCAAAGGTTTATCATGATTTGTCAACAGGCAAAACAAAGTACAAATGCGATGTGATGTTCAGTTCGGTGCGGCTGACGGAGGTCGTCAAACTTCAAGAGGTCCGCGTTCGCGCCACGTTTACTGGAGCGTTTTCTGTTTTTGCAGCATTTTCGTGTTTTGATTGCGTAGTTTCTATGTCTGGTTAATTCTGGTCCAATGTTGTGCTATTCTCTGAGAGTTTTGGCATTATTCAGCGATATATCAAGTGTTATCACCTGTAGCAAGCTGCGTTCGCCACGATATTCTGCTACGTGTTATCGGAGAATTCAACAATTCGGTCGAATGTAGATAAGACAGTAGTAATAGCCGTATTCCTCGTGGAAAATCCAGGAAGATAGAAGGAAACACGCGTTGGTATTTCGCCAAAATGTTATTATCGTAACGAATATCAGCAGACTAGTGGTCTTCGTTTCAATATAGGTATGTCGCCGAAATAGCAGCGCACCTATCTCCCAATTTTACTCTTTTTTACAAGGAATGAGGCTATTGCTATTGTCTTAGGTTTTGTGTATAATGTTCCTCGCAAATGCACTTCGCAACTTACGTAAAGCAGTCGAACATTGGCACTAAAATACACGATTAATTTACAAGCCGCTGCGTGCGAAAGAACCTTCGAAAAGAGCCGGCCTCCACTTCAACCTGAATATTCAATGACAAAATTACGAAAACCCGACGATCAACATCATGCAACTAAGCCAATAGCGCTAATCGTCCGACAATGATCAGCAAAACAACACCAGACGCTTCGCACATGCCCATCACGAATGCTGCGTTGCAGCCTGAAGCCCGGCTTGCAGCTTCCTGGCAGGGTATTCCGTGACCTTAAGCAGTTGCGCACATCAGCTTCACTCTTTATCCCCAAGCCACGCACGTCCAACAACATCCAAAGCTGCATAGCATTAGCCCTACCGACATTGACTCTACCATATTAACCCTACGGCGCCTACCGACACGTCGTTCTGATCATCGAGGCCTAGGAAAATTAGAATGATACCTAACTACGGCATCTCACGGCGAGATAGGACGAGGAAGCGTACTGGAGCAGAAGTGAAGTTTCCTATTCAGCTCAGGCAGGCTCAAGTTTCATAATTTTGAATCGTTCAAAACCGGAATTACATTGGTGCTGCGTTTGAAAGTTGCTTTTTTGTTGGTGGAGGCAACCCCTCGAACGTAGATCATCGTCAGCATCGTCCGGACTCAAGAGGTAGTACGACTGGCTGAGCGTGGGTGAGCTCACTGAGCACCGAGCATGTATGCAGAAGCATAATCCCATGGCCACTGAAGAGCCAGCTTAAATACTAACGCCGTTGCAATCAACTCACATTGCGCATAACATTAACATGACGGGTATTTTGTTCAATTGAATGACATGGTGCGTTCAAACTGAATCGGGAGAGGGGCACTTTCCGTTCAGAGGCACAGAAACTTGGAACAGTGTACCCCAAAAGTGCAAAGACATTCCCAACGGGAAGGCATCTGCTTAAGCGTATTTGGGCCGGTTAAAGTTTGGTGTGTCAAGAACGTGCGTATAAACGGGTTACGATAAACACATTTATGCTGAGCAGACCATTCTCTTAAATATATAACTGAATAATCAAAACATTACCTAAGCACCTAATAGTACCTTCTACGAAGATTTTGCATCGCAGTTTGCAATGGAGACATGCAGCTGCATCCTTTCTGTATCACCAACGTTTTATGCTTTTGAGAAACTGATACAAACTGCCGGACTTCCACATGCAACTGCTGTGGATAAACACACTGACTTTAAAAGCGCAGTGAATGTTGATATATATATATATATATATATATATATATATACACATGTATTGTGGATAACCAGAACAGGGGAGGAAATCCTAAAGATTTTTCGTACCCGTCATCTTTTGGCAGCCTCAATGGCTCTTGCAAATTTCAATCATTTAGAAAAATCGACACCCATGGGTAAGCTACGCCTTCAAGACTGAGCCCACAGAGTATGCCTGTATATCGCCGTACAATGTCGTCAGCGTGTCCCGAAAATGCCACGCGCTAGTCCAATATGGCACACAGTTTCCGCGCAGTGGGAGTACCAGCAATATTGACTCCTATGAATTGAATGTTGATGATAGGAAGCCACTGAATGTTTTGACAAGACCCAAGAATAATGACCTGAGTTTTTTTGTGCATTGTTTTTATCCCCTTTTGGTCACACTACCGAGACAGATACACCAGATTTTGTTTCATGGAGTTAACAAAGGAGCCCGTGCCGTCGGGTCTCCCAGACACAAGGACCTGGGTGTCGTCCGCATATTGCACAAAAGCTAAGCCGTCTTCACCGAATGACAAGTCATTACCATAAATCGAATACATCGAGGGTACCAAGGCGGACGCTCGGCATGTGCCGATAGGGTTCAGCAACGAACGAGAAGTCACGTGCCCACCACATGCCGTCCGAACTCGAACTGGCTGGTAATGGTCTGTCAGGTAGCTTTTAAACCAGTGCTCGCGTACACCGCAAAGCCGAACCTTACGGGGAAGTTGGTCCGGTGCAGAATAACATCGAGACATTTGGACAAATCCAGGAGACAGAGCAGTGCAACTTTTCTCTGGTCCATGGAAGTAAAAACCTCGTCAGAGTTTGGAGCAACAGTTTTAACATAGGCCACCGTCTTTTAACCAAGTTTTACCAGTTTTAATAGAAAGCAGCGCAGTGTCAGTCGGGTGATTTACGGGAAGGCATGGGTATAGGAACAGACATGAACTGAGCCAGTGCCACCGCCCGTAGAACCTGATGCAATACCAGTGACAGAAGACGTAGATAAAGCTAACCTACTAGGTGACTTTTTTGCCAATCACAACCCATAACTGACGACCTACCTGTACCCAATACCGCGTTTGCGGATCCACCACCCACGTTAGATGGCATAACCATTACAGAGGATGAATTACTGAACGCACTCAGCTCTCTCGATCCAAACAAATCGTGTGGTTCTGACAATCTCCCAGAAAAAAGTATTAGGTGTAACTGTTATATTCTTATTATTATATTGATACGGACTGAACTCACTGAACTACCGAACATGTCGCTAAGCCAATGCACTTTTCCTTTCAACTGGAAAGAAGCAGAGGTTCATCCCATTTTCAAAAACAAAGGGTCAAACTGGGATCCTGCTAACTACAGACCAATCAGTTTACTTCCTTGTGTGTCAAAAATTATCGAAAGAATTATCTTTAATAGTACCTATCAACACCTGATTCAGAGTAGGCTGATCCCTAAGAAACAAAATGGATGCCGTCCAAAACCTTGCGCACAAATTGAGCTTGTATATTTACTTAACAGTCCTTATGCAGCTTTGTACCGAGGCAGTAACTTTGCAGCCATCTACTTGAGCATTAGTTAATACTTTGGCAATATATGGTATAAGGGACTCCTTCTCAAGTGCTAGGACTATTGCGATTTGTCAGGAACTCTCCCAAGTTAGCTAGAATCATATCTTTCAGACCACAAGCAGAAAATCAAGGTAGGCAACGGTTTAAGCACCTCTGGCACAAAACATACTGGATGCCCGCAGGGGTTGGTTCTGGGGCTTCTCCTTGCGCCTAGATATCTTAACGACCTAACCGACGAGACTGACAACGACA